CCACCACCAAGGGATGGTCTTGCCTGTGAGAGTCTTCACAAATATCCGATAATGTCCTAGCCGAAGAACAAGGTGAAGAGTACACCCATGCTGAATGTTACAGTCACTCAGGGTCTGTCCATCTTCCAGATCTTTACCCACAAATATGAGTCGTTGTATGTCTGGTGGTATTCCCTCCTTGTCCTGGATTTTTGTCTGCACATGCTCAATAGTATCACTGGCCACTACCTCCAGAGGGGTGGTCTTGCCTGTGGGAGTCTTCACAAATATCCGATAACCTCCTATTGGCCGAAGAACAAGCTGAAGAGTAGGCCCATGCTTAATGTTACAGGTCTGTCCATCTTCCAGTTCTTTACCAGCAAATATGAGTCGTTGTTGATCTGGTGGTATTCCCTCCTTGTCCTGGATTTTTGTCTTTACATTCTCAATGGTATCACCGGCCACCACCTCCAGAGGGATGGTCTTGCCTGTGGGAGTCTTCACATATATCGGTATTGGCCGGAGAACAAGGTGAAGAGTAGACTCATGCTGAATGTTATTGTCACTCAAGGTCTGTCCATCTTCCAGTTCTTTACCAGCAAAAAGGAGTCGTTGTTGGTCTGGTGGTATTCCCTTCTTGTCCAGGATTATTGTCTTCACATTCTCAATGGTATCACTGGCCACCACCTCCAGAGGGATGGTCATGTCTGTGAGATTCTTCACAAATATCTGATAATGTCTTCTTGGCCGAAGAACAAGGTGAAGAGTAGACCCATGCTGAATGTTATAGTCACTCAGGGTCTGTCCATCTTCCAGTTCTTTACCAGCAAATTTGAGTCGTTGTTGATCTGGTGGTATTCCCTCCTTGTCCTGGATTTTTGTCTTCACATTCTCAATGGTATCACTGGCCTCCACCTCCAGAGCGAATGTCTTGCCTGTGGGAGTCTTCACATATATCTGATAACCTACTGTTAGCCAAGAACAAGGTGAAGAGTAGACTCATGCTGAATGTTATAGTCACTCAGGGTCTGTCCATCTTCCAGTTCTTCACCAGCAAATATGAGTCGTTGTCGGTCTGGTGGCATTCCTTCCTGGTCTTTAATTTTAGCCTTCACATTCTCAATGGTATCACTGGCCTCCACCTCCAGAGGATGGTGCCCTTCAGTGTCTTCACAAATTCCTCATACCTCCCAAGAGCCCCAGAGAAGGATCTGGTGGTCATTCCCTCCTTGTCCTGGATTTTTGTCTTCACATTCTCAATGGTATCACTGGCCACCACCTCCAGAGCGAATGTCTTGCCTGTGGGAGTCTTCACATATATCTGATAACATACTGTTAGCCAAGGAACAAGGTGAAGAGTAGACTCATGCTGAATATTATTGTCACTCAGGGTCTGTCCATCTTCCAGTTCTTCACCAGCAAATATGAGTCGTTGTCGGTCTGGTGGCATTCCTTCCTGGTCTTTAATTTTAGCCTTCACATTCTCAATGGTATCACTGGCCTCCACCTCCAGAAGGATGGTGCCCTTCAGTGTCTTCACAAATATCCTCATACCTCCCAAGAGCCCCAGAGAGAGGTCAACAGTACTCCCACTATAAAGACCACAATCCCTCAGCCTCTTCTCATCTCCCAGCACCCTCCCACCTGAGAACACCTTCACCTGGTCTGGTGGGATCCCTTCTTTCTCGTAGATGACTGATTTCAAGTGCCTCACTGTGTCCCCACCCCTCACTCCTAGTGCTAGGGTCTTCCCTGACAGAGTTCTGAGGAACACCTGGTACTGTGGCTGGCTCCTGAGGACCAGTCTGCACTTGCTGGAGATGAGTGCGTGATAGTACCCCATTCTTCTCCTGTTCTCTAGGCAAACCCCATCTAGACTAAGTTGTTGTAGACGACGTGGGGTACCTTCTAAAGCCTCAATCCTCTTCTTTACTCTCCTGACAGAAGTGGAGGACTCTACCTTCAACTTGATGTACTGGTGGCTCTTACCCTTTCTCACTTTCAAGTTATAGAAGTGGAGCCGTCGAATGACATATATCTCGGCCCCACTTTTGATTTCATAGTTCTCTAAGGAACTGTTGTCATTGATTGGCTTACCAGCAATGATTAGTCGTTGACGTTCTGGGGAAATCTTTGCTACTTTCGCAATTTTACTTTTCACGTCGTGGACAGATTCGTTAGTGGCTACCTCAAGAGAGAAGGTTTGGCCTGTCAGTGTCTTGACAGTGATAGGGACCACCACAAGCAGCCCCAGCTCTGACCCATCCTGGATGCCACGCTCCCTCAACGACACCTGGTTCTCTAGTGCCCGGCCTTGGAAAGATAGTCGCTGATATTCTGGTGGAATACCCAGTTCAGCCTCCAGCACTGCCTTAACATCCTCCACCCTCTCTCCTTTCCCTGCCCGTGACTGAGACCAGCTCACCTGAAGGTTGCCTCACACGCAGCCTTATCTCCTCTGTTGGACTATACAGGTGGAGGGTACTGCCCTCTACTACGAGGTAGTCTCCAAGCAAGCGTTCGTTCCTCATTTCCCTCTCATTGTAGACCAGGCTCTGGCGGTAGACTGGGAGACCGTCTTTGGCCGCTATTTTGTGCTTGGTGCTCTCGACCGTGTCAGAACTCTCTACCGCGAGTGTAATGGCTTTACCTGACGGAGTCCGCACGAAGATCTGCATTATTTCTGCCTCTCACCTGTATACACGGTAATACACACACGGTAAGCAATCGGCCACTGTAAGACGTTTATTTCTTACCTTTTCTTACGTGATCGAAGGATACACACATACGTGATCCACCCATGGGTGGAGCTAAGAGTGGGCGCATGAGCGGTTAGCCCATACGAGCCACTCCCACTTCTGCAGCTACCGACTGTCTATATACTCGACTCATCCCAGCTAGAAATAGGTTATCTTCACGTCCAGACGACTTCGTCCTTACACTGTACTGCAGTCAGTAGGACGGGAGATGGCGTCCACCTCCAGCAGGAGTGATCTGATGGACGAGTACCACAGACTGGCGGCCGACACCCTCCTCGGTGCTGAGTAAATGGCTTCACCCTCTGGTCTCTGGGGAGCCGTGTCTCTGACTGTGCTTTTGTCGTATAATCCACCCTTTACTGCGACAGTAAACTGGCCAGTAGCTTTTTTAATAATAATTTTGCTGAAGTATGCATGGATATACTAAAGAGCAGAGCTAATATTTTGAAGTGAACCCAGTGTTAAGATAAGCTACATTACGAACACATAAAGAGAGGTGATATCAAATGTTTGAACATAAACAGATCTTGAGAAGTTACTGCTTCATGTGGCAAGTTGTTCCATAGCCTGATTGTATTGGCAAAAAAAAGAAAATTGAAGGCCATTGAGATGAGCTTGAGGAACCCTGTAAGCGTAGGGGTTGTAGTTTCGACTGTAGGTAGTTGCCATGGTGGGTGGAGGGGACACTGGACAATTGGACTACTAGAGCACTACTTTCAGTCCAGACAGACTTCTTTACGGAATCCGTAAAGGGACTAAAGTGGATAAGAGAACTGGTCTGGCCACCTAGCTGTATAGTTCTAGTCTTACCCCTAGCCTGCTCCACGTGCGTGAAATAGGCAGGCTACACCAGACCAACCAAGCTCTAGTAGTGCAATTGTCCAGTGTTTAGCCACAGCACTAGGACGTGTCCAAAACTTACTAGCTAGACCTAGGTTGCATACACATGCGTGTTAGGGGTATTAGCTTATCCAGCAAGACTCCTACTGGCATTCTCATCCCTTACTCCCCAAGAAAAAAGAGAGCTGTGACATAATGCTCCAGTGGTTTCTGATATCTTGTGGTGTTTATCTCACTGATGTTATTGCTGCTGTTTGTGCAGGTCAAACAAGGTTGCCGTGGCAATATTGCAGGCTGCAGAGGTGAGTGAATCCCATTTGACAGTATTCTAATGACTTTCATCATTCAATAACTCCATATTCATAATTTCCTACTAATGCACCAGTGGCAGAAGCAAGTAATTAAGCATTCCACACACACTAAGAAATCTTCACTAGCAGCAAAGTCAATACTGCACTTTTTGGTCGCACTTGTGATGTTGCAGCACAGTAAGCAGTGTGATATTCCTGCCTTGTAATGCTCCCTTTCACTATTTTCCTTTCTTTTCCTTTTATCATTGAGTACTGGTATCTATATTAGGATGGGGAACACACTTGCACTGTTCACTGTGTGATGGGGTTCACTATTATTCCTCTTTCCACTGGTTCTGATAGGGTGGTGAGTTAGAGAGACTGGTGAAGCTACTGACAGAACACAGGGACCTGGTGGATGCTCGTCATCCTGATTCTGGGGACACCCCTCTCATTAGTGCTGCCAGGAGTGGACACAAAGATGTGAGTCGTTAGAACATTTTTACAGTGGAACCTCGCTATTCCAGCCTTTCACGGGAACATGGGCACAGGTAGTGGATGTACTGCTGAGTTGTGGAGCAGATGTAACTCTGGAGAACAACAGTGGAGACAGTGTGCTGGACGTGGAAGGAGACAGACTACGCAGACATATCCTCAGTGAGCTGCTAGGAGAAAGAGGAGTGGGGGTGATTAATGAGGGATATTATGAACCTCTGTTATTGTGTCCTCCTCAGAGTCTATCAGTCACGAGGATCGCTCCATGAGCAATGCCAAGGCTCTGCTGAGGTCTGCATGGCTGGGGGATTCCGTCAGGCTCAGGTGATGTCTGGTAAGATTTCTCAATAGCTACTGTTTGAGCTTCAAGGGCATGACTCCTCAGCTATTCATATTGCTATCCCTGTTGTATTGTAGCTCCTTGTGCAGTGTGCTATATGAAGCTAATAACATCTCCTTTTAGCCAGCTAGAACGGAAACCTTTAATGCTTCAATATTTCACTCAGTGGTATCTTTATGTAGGTCCGTGGAGGTCACAATGAGGCAGCTCGTTACCTCCTGAGTATCAGTGGGGCCGGCTGACGAGTCCTCCCACTATAAATATAAGGGACGAAAACCATCTCTGGGGACTACTATCCCAGGGGTGGTTCCTGGCTTTTCCCCCTTTATACAGAAAGATACAATTCTGATTGCAGCTTCTACCTCTCCATCATCATTATCCTCCATCAAAAATATAGAATGACTTACTTGTACCATGGTGAATGGCAGTGGAGACTCGGCACTGACAGTGGCCAACAGCCCCAGAATGAAGAGAATGATAAAAGGGGCTAGAAACAATCACTAGCCTCAGCACTGAAGTTCTGTCCTAGAAACAAAATGGGCAAGTATTATTATTAGGCACACAATGCGCCACAAGACAAAAGTGGTAGCCATATTAATTGACAAGCTGGAAACATTCACTTTAGCATTGAATGTGTGCTAAAACCAAAGTGTGTCTGGTTCACTCTGATACTGAATCCATTTCAGAGGCTTGGACTGAGCAGACAGAGCAAACTGCTGTCTGTGGTAACCTGGACCCTGTATGCCCGTTATCTTGTAACTAGTCATGTGTGCATCATCATTGTGTTGCGTAACCCAGTCATGTATGCATTGTCAGATCGCCTATAAATGTGTGTGAGTTTGTACTGTCATTATGATTATGTTGTGTGCTAGACCCAACGACCGGCCCTCGTAACGTATCGGGTTAGCCCATAACATGTCGTGATAACAAAGTCAGACTCTGATGTAACGTCACCACTGTCACCGGGGAAACCGCAGAGCTAATGCTGAACCCAGCTGTCTCCACCCAATTCAATCACATGACGACATACACGGAGTGTGATCGATTGCGCATGCTTACGAGCCACTCGTGCAGCCAGCAGCGTCACCATAACCTAGCTGCAATGAATTGACATATTATTATGTACGTCGTATGGCACAACAAAATAAAAAACTCAACAAAATTCACGATTCAGTTCGTCTGCTAGTCTAGTTTCATTCACAGAAAGGGACTGAAGGGCAGAGACGAGTGTAGCCCATGTGAATGGTTTACTGAGAGACTGTTTCCAATGGTCCATCACAGCCATGAATCTGTCAAAACTGTCGTCTTCGTCTTTTTGAATAGCCCTTATCTCTCCTCGACTCAACTCAAACTGGACGGCCACTTTCTTCCACTTGTCGGGAATGACTGCTGCCACCCGGTTTGCAAGGACACTCATTGCAGGGGCTGACTCACCTGATGAGCCTCCTCCTGCACCTAGACAAAATGTAGCAGGAAACAATACACTTGAGTTCAAGAAGCAGTTGCTTCATCCTAACGTCGTCACAGCATTTGGTCACCGCAGTGCAGGAATGCCAATCAAGCTTTATTGGTAGGGACCGCTCGAAGACGCCGCCGTGCTCAAGTTAAGACGCTTGCTCGATCGCCTTAACAATGCCACTAGTATACTACAGGCTCACCTGATGTACTGAGCCAAAGGATCTGGTCAGGGGTGAAGCTGTCAAATACTTCTTTGTTCTTTGAACATATCCACTGCTTTTTATTGCTTGAAAGGCGGGCCACGTGCAGTTCTGTGCTGCACGACTCGTCCTGTTGGGGGCACAGGAAAGCTGTTGTAGCGTGGGTGTCTTCGTGATGTGTGTTCTTCAGAGCTGCTCCAACTGCTGCTAGGATCTCTGACTTGATGGCCTGGCAGTGCTCACTCAACTGGTCCCCCTGCATCTTACTGGTATCAACATTGACGCACACCACAAAAGAGGAAAACTTATCGATGAAAGTCACCGAACCAGGCCGGTCGATTTTATCAAACTTGATGCAGTTGCGCGACAGTGAAGAATGAGATGCACTGGAACCTTTGCTTGGTGGAGGGAGAGGTAGCTTATCCTCCTTCAAGCCTGAGGAGGTGTGGGTTGCAGCGGAAGCTTTGCTTTGTGGTTTTATGCGTCTGTTTTCCACCACCTCCCAGCCAGAGTGGGACTGAAGGTGGCACACACTGCAGCAGTAGACACCGGGAGGAGCCCAGCCAGTGGGGAACTCCACCACCAGAGCTGCTATCTTGGTCCTACTGCATGTTTCAAGGCATTCACTGATCTTTTCTTCAGTCGTCATGTTGAGAATGGCAGGAAAGAAGTATTCAGTTCTAGACAGTCGGGAAACCACGAGGCTCTTTTCAAGCAAGACAAGAAAATCTCTGGCTGTGAATATTCCCTCCACATAGTGGTTCTTGGAGTCCTCAAGGAAATCAAGAGTGAGGATTCCGTTGTCGCGAAACTTATGCCAGTCCCCTGTGATTGCATGATCAGCTGCTTTTGTTCGATCAACCATGGCAGCCTTCAGATGGTACTGCTTCTCCACCAGTTTTGAGAGTTTGTCCAGAGGCACTTGAGCATTGGTAAAGACGACTTCGGGAAGAATGGTCTTCTTGTAGAGGAAGATGTTCAACTTGTCAAAGAAAGTGAGGGCAGCATCGAGTTCCCCTTCAGGGAAACCGAGTGAGTCTGACACGTGGATGGCTTCTTCCTTACTCAGGACCTCTCTCCCCAGTTTGAGGGCCAGGGCTTCTAGGATGAGCTGGAGAATGAACCACCAGATTGGAATCTCGTGTGTCTTGGCACCCTTCTCGATGCAGGCTCTGATTTTGGCTGCTTCCTTTTTGTCATCACTATCGGGATTGTTGGTGTTGACTTGGAAAATGATATCCTCCATTCCCTCGTTGCAGTAAACAATGTTGTCTTTGAAATGGGGCGATGCAATGACTGCCAACTTTTGGTTCTTCTCCTCGGGGGTTTCCTCGCAATCTCCAGCCATGTCTCTGTGAGTGCCGACTGCGATGATCTTTGAGTGTTCTCCTCCTTTATGGAGCCCTTGAAGCATTGTCTTGAAGGCCTCGGCAGTGGTGAGTGTGGCTCTCTGGCTGGGGCCAACCTGCTTCCCTCTCTGGTAGAGATCGTTGCGAGGGTGTTCATCAAGTTTCTCACACAGCCGGTGGACAAACAGAGTGGCTGAGTTGTCATGGTTGAAGATAGGGAGGAGGTCCCAGTAGGCTTGCTGGCCACCACTGTCGGTCAGGTACATCAGATCCATGTCCAGCAGACGACGTGACTTTCTCCCACCGCTCACGAGTTGAATGAGCTTCTGAATGACGTTCCTGATTGTGACTGTCCTTTCCTCGGCACTGGAAGTGCTGGGATTGCTTTTTGATTTACTCTCTTTTGACTCTTCCCGGAGGCCTTTGCTACGTACTTCCTCTCCCTCCTTATCTACCTCAACTACTCCATCCTCTCTCATCTCGCCATCTTCAACCACACTCTGTTTCTCCCCCACACCCTCTCCCACCACTTCAGACAGAACCTCAGCCAGCTTGTCCATTCCCTTTCCTTTGGCCTTCAGCTCCTCATACAGAACTGGGACTGCCTCTGCAATCATTTCCTCAAATTCCATTGGGGGAATTTCGCTCCATTCTCCTGATTCTTTGCCGATACGAATGACTCTGATTGATCTCTCAGCACAGCCAGTGCTAGTTCTTTGGTCTGGTGGGTCCTTGCTGAGCAGGAGGTAGAGAAGACAGGTTTTACCAACACCGGCAGGTCCTACCACCACCACTTTCACCAGCTTGACATAGACATAGCCTTGTTTCATTGCTTCTTTTAGATATTCACTGGACTCATCTATGATACATAATATACATATACGAGGTTTCATTTAGGTTAAAGGAATATGGCATAAGGGCTAAATAAAATAGAAACTGTTTCCCAAAATGGATAATAAATAAGTAACATTCTTGAACTGGGCCCTATTGTTCTATCTTTAGTAACAGTGCTAAATTTATCCACTGACACATTCCATTAAGGAGCTATGATAGGGCCCACATACGCAATGTGAAATTCTACCCAGACATCACCATGCACCAGGTACAATAAGTCAATTCTCAAGCTGAACGAAAATTATTGAATTATGTTGCATGTATTTGCTATTATACTCGACTTCCAGTATGCATGAAAACTTTCTGCAGGTGTCAGATTCTGATACGTGTTAAAAAGTAACTTACCTTCTCCTAGAGTAATACTCAGATAAAGAGTATCCCGGCTCCAAACACCGTAGTCTCTCAGGGTCCGGTTATCTTCCAATATTGTATTCTTGAACTGGAGTTGTTGTTGGTCTGGTGGTATTCCCTCCTTGTCTGGATTTTGTCTTCACATTCTCAATGGTATCAATGGCCTCCACCTTAAGAGTGATGGTCTTGCCTGTGGGAGTCTTCACATATATCTGATAACCTTCTATTCGCCGAAGAACAAGGTGAAGAGTAGACTCATGCTGAATGTTAGAGTCACTCAGGGTCTGTTCATCTTTCATTTCTTTACCAGCAAATATGAGTCGTTGTTGGTCTGGTGGCATTCCTTTCTGATATCTAATTTTAGCCTTCACATTCCCAATGGTATCACTGGCTTCCACCTCCAGATCGAATGTCTTGTTTGTCAGCGTTCTCACAAATATTCCCATCCCTCTCTCTACCTGCCAGACCAGCTGAAGAGTGTCCTCATGTTGGACACCACAGTCACTTAGGGTTTGACCATCTTCCCAGCTGTCTGCCTTGAGGACAAGTTGTTGTTGCCTTTGGGGAATCCCAAATTTTCTCTGAATTTTATTCTTCACAGTTTCAACAGCATCATTGGCCTCTACCTCTAGGGCCGTGATTGAGTGTGGTGTTTCAAGAAACACTCCCATACCCCTCTCTACCTGCCAGACCAACTGAAGAGTGTCTTTATGCTGGACATTGTACTCACTCAGAGTCTTTCCATCTTCTAGCTGCTGGCCATTGAAGACAATTTGTTGTTGGTATTCAGGTATCCCCTGTTTGGATTTACGCTGGATTTTTGTCCTCACATCATTAATGGTATCACTGGCCTCCACCTTAAGAGTGATGATCTTGCCTGTGGGAGTCCTCACAAATACTTCTATTGGCCAAAGAACAAGGTAAAGAGTAGACTCATGCTGAATGTTATAGTCACTCAGGGTCTGTCCATCTTCCAGGTCTTTACCAGCCAATATGAGTCGTTGTTGGACTGGTGGTATTCCCTCCTGGTCTTTAATTTTAGCCTTCACAGTTTCAATGGTATCACTGGCCTCCACCTCCAGAGCGAATGTCTTGTTTGGCAGCATTCTCACAAATATTCCCATCCCTCTCTCTACCTGCCAGACCAGCTGAAGAGTGTCCTCATGTTGGACACCACAGTCACTTAGGGTTTGACCATCTTCCAGCTGTCTGCCTTTGAGGACAAGTTGTTGTTGCCTTCGGGGAATCCCAAATTTTCTCTGAATTTTATTCTTCACAGTTTCAACAGCATCATTGGCCTCTACCTCTAGGGCCATGGTTGAGCTTGGTGTATCAAGAAACACTCCCATACCCCTCTCTATCTGCCAGACCAACTGAAGAGTGTCTTCATGCTGGACATTGTAGTCACTCAGAGTCTTTCCATCTTCTAGCTGCTGGCCATTGAAGACAATTTGTTGTTGGGGTATCGGTATCCCCAATTTGTATTCAGGCTGGATTTTGTCCTCACATCCTCAATGTTATCACTGGCCTCTACCTTAAGAGTGATGGTTGTGCCTGTGGGAGTCCTCACATATATCTGATAACGCCGAAGAAGAAGGCGAAGAGTAGACTCATGCTGAATGTTATAGTTACTCAGGGTCTGTCTATCTTCCAGTTCTTTACCAGCAAATATGAGTCGTTGTTGGTCTGGTGGTATTCCTTTCTGGTCTTTAATTTTAGCCTTCACATTCTCAATGGTATCACTGGCCTCCA